TAGCATCAGTAGTCGTATTAGCAGTAGTATTAATAAAGGAGTAATAGGCAACGGCCCGGCCTCCAGGCCGGGGCTTCCACCCCACGGACCGGCCTCCAGGCCGGGGCTGCTTTTTCTTCCCCAATTCTCCTCGTCCTTGTCCACCTCCTCTCCCGCTCCCTCTCCTCATCATCCGTTACTTTCTTTGTCTCCCCCCACCCAGCCCCACGGACCAGCCTCCAGGCCAAGGGGGCCCATGGACCAGCCACCAGGCCTGGGTTCTTCGCCCATTTCGGCGCACATTTCACGAGGATCGCGCCCCACATGGAACTCCAGCCCGAAGCTCCATCGAGGGTGACCCTCTCTGGTTCCGCGCCAGTTTCGCCGCACCCCTCACGAGGATCGCGCCCTACACGGAGCTCCAACTACAGCTCCAGCAAGGGTGACTCCCATTGGGTCTGGTCCAATTACGCCGCACCCCTAACGAGGATCGTGCCCCACAGAGAGCGTCAGCTCCAGCTCCAGCGAAGGTGACCCTCTCTGGTCTCACACCGTTTTCGCCGCATGATGATGATGATGATGATGATGATGATGATGATGATGATGATGAGGACGAGGATGAGGATGAGGATGAGGATGATGATGATGATGATGATGATGATGATGATGATGATGATGAGCATGATGATGCTGATGATGTGGCGATGATGCTGATGATGACAAAGATGATGACGACGGTGAAGTTGACGATGGAAATTATGGCGACGATGGCGGTGACGAGGACGACGTTCATGGTGATTATGATGATGATGCTGAGGATGATGATGAGGATGATGATGATGATGATGACGATGATGATGATGATGATGATGATGATGATGATGATGATGATGACGGTGATGATGATGGTTACGATGATAATGATGATGGTGGTGATGGTGGTAATGCTGATGAGAGGGAGGAAAATGAGAGCGGGTCGCGGAGACCGAGGGGAGAGGACGGGTAGGAAGGGGTTGGAGAAGGTGAAGATGGGGGTTGGAAAGGTAGAAAGAGGAGGAGAAGGAGAAGGATGCTACAGGAGATTGCGGGCATAGGAAGACGCCGGAGGAGGAAACCAGAGGAGCGAGGAGGAATGACGCTGATGACGCACACGTAGCTTGTTTTCAAAATGATGGTGGTGATGAACAAGGAGGTGCTGATCTGTGACCGTCATCATCAGTAGCATCATAAGTAGCATCACGCAGTGACACTTGCATGGCATCAGCACCAAAACACAGCCACACACAGGGACACTTGCATATCATCACCACTAGTAGCAGCACAGCAACACACAGACACTTGCATGGCATCACAGCCAGCACACACAACCACACGCAGAGACACTTTCATGGCACCACACGTAGTACACACAGCCACACACAGACACTTGCATGGCATCACAGCCAGTACACACAGTCACACACACACAGAAACTTGAATGGCATCATAACGTGTACACGCAGCCACACACAAAGACACTTGCATGGCATCACCACCAGTAGACAAAATCACACACAGAACACTTGAATGGCATCACCACCAGTACACACAGCCACACACAGAGACACTTGAATGGCATCGCCACCAGTACACAAAGCCACACATAAAGACACGTGCATGGCATCACCACTAGTACACACAGCCACACCCAGAGGCATTTGCATAGCATCACCACCAGTAGACACAGCCACACACAGAGCACTTGAATGGCATCACCGCTAGTACACACAACCACACACAGAGAAACAACGTGCGTCGGCATCAGTACACGGACCGGCCTCAAGGCCGGAAACCCTGACTGCCCACAGATGCGTTGCGCAGCAAACCGCCAAGTGTGCAACACATAAGTAACCGTTTCAATCTATGTTTTTAGTTTGTCGGATGTCGGCTCCAACCAGAACACTCCATGGACCACCTTAAGGGTAACCGTCGGAAAAATCACGGCCTGGAGGCTGGTCCGTTCGGACTGGCTCCGGCCTGGAGGCCGGTCCGTTGCCTAGTAGTAGTAGTAGTAGTAGTAGTAGTAGTAGTAGTAGTAGTAGTAGTAGTAGTAGTAGTAGTAGTAGTAGTAGAAGTAGTAGTAGTAGTAGTAGTAGTAGTAGTAGTAGTAGTAGTAGTAGTAGTAGTAGTAGTAGTAGTAGTAGTAGTAGTAGTAGTAGTAGTAGTAGTAGTAGTAGTAGTAGTAGTAGTAGTAGTAGTAGTAGTAGTAGTAGTAGTAGTAGTAGTAGTAGTAGTAGTAGTAGTAGTAGTAGTAGTAGTAGTAGTAGTAGTAGTAGTAGTAGTAGTAGTAGTAGTAGTAGTAGTAGTAGTAGTAGTAGTAGTAGTAGTAGTAGTAGTAGTAGTAGTAGTAGTAGTAGTAGTAGTAGTAGTAGTAGTAGTAGTAGTAGTAGTAGTAGTAGTAGTAGTAGTAGTAGTAGTAGTAGTAGTAGTAGTAGTAGTAGTAGTAGTAGTAGTAGTAGTAGTAGTAGTAGTAGTAGTAGTAGAGGTAAACAGAATCACAAAACGAGGAGGGGGACGCGGAAGAGGAGGGGGAGGGGGAGGGGGGCGAGGAGGGGGAGGAAATTGGAGGACCCGTCCAATTCACCGCAGAGTGGAAAAGGGAGAGGGGGTTCAAAACAAAAGACCCTTAAGAGGTTATTCGGCGGCCTTCGGTCCATCCCGCCACCCGCCATCGGCTGCAGGTCAGGGCGCAGCGGTAAAGGGAACGACAGGGGAGGACGGCTCCACGAGAGGGAAGCATCCACCCAGCGATACATCGCCGATAGATCGGCGATAGGCCCCCGACAACACTCCCCGACGCCTCTTCGAAAGGGCGCAGCCGCCGGAAGGCATCCCGAGGCGGGATGACCACCGGGATCCGATAAAACTCCTCCTCCTCCTCCTCCTCCTCCTCCTCCTCCTCCTCCTCCTCCCAAACCCAGGGACATCCGCCGATCTGATGTCTTCAATCCGCGGCCCCAGGGGATCCCCACCCCCTTACAAGACGAGGCCAGGACGAGGACAAGATCGGGCGAGAGTACATCGAGAATCTCTGAGATCCGGCGGCTCTGGAAAATGTCTCGGGCGCCACGGCCTTCTCAGAGCGTTCCAGAACGCTCTCAGAGCATTATGGAACGCAATGGATAGGGGGGAGCCCACAAAAGACGTACGCGCCTAACCATGTACATAAACACGGCCCCGCAATCCGCGAGACTGGCCGCATGATACGAACATCCGCGCTTTGCGTACTATCGAAATCAACGTGGACTCATGTACGTACACGTCCTTTTTCAAGAAAGACACTTCTCGGATTGGGAGGATGGGCTTAGGAAAATACGGGGCACGACCATGAAATAAGCACACTCGACATACACGATTGTACGGATGATGGCTCCGCATGCTGGGGAAACGAAGAGGTACCCATACCGCCACTGCCTGGACCTCTCCTGGGGTGCGTTCTGACCAGAATTCCGAGGCGAATGCAGCGGTGACGACGAGGGCCTCCCAGGAGGCCCATACAGGAGAAAACGAGTGAAGGGTAGGGGCAGGGGTACCTTTCCCTCCTCTGGTATGCAAGGCCCTCGCCGATGTGCATCGCCAGCGTCGCCGATGCATCCGCGATGCCTCGGCGATGCGTTGCGAGCTCCCCCCTCCTCCACAGGCAGGCCTCCTCCTTCTCCTCCTCCTCCTCTTCATTTTCCTCCTCCTCCTCCTCCTCCTCCTCCTCCGCTCCTCCTCCTCCTCCTCCTCCTCCTCCTCCTCCTCCTCCTCCTCCTTCCCCTTGGCCGCGGCCCCCCAGGCTCGCCCCGCTGCTCGGCCCCGAGCGGCCCGCGCCGGGCGTGCGCCGGCCCTCCCCCAGGGGCCACCGCGATCGTCCAGCGGCTCTACGGCTGGGCCAGCGGCGACGCGGCCGAGGACCAACCCCATCTTCCCAACCCCATCTCCTCCTCCATCTCCATCTCCTCCTCCTCCTCCTCCTCCTCCTCCTCCTCCTCCTCCTCCTCCTCCTCCATCTCCTCCTCCATCTCCATCTCCTCCTCCATCTCCTCCTCCTCCCCCTCCTCCTCCTCCTTCTCCTCCTTCATCTCCTCCATCTCCTCCTCCTCCTCCTGCGACGACGACCTGATTCATTCGCTCCTGACTGGAACGGATTTGTCTTAGTCCCATAGCCCCGTCCGACCGCCCCGGAAGCAATCCTCCGCCCCGCGGACATCCCTTCTTGCTGATGCTCCCAGGGCCCCGGAGAAACGACCCCTGCCGGCCGACATGGAGGAGGAGGAGGAGGAGGATGCAAGAGGAGGCGGAGGAGGAGGAGGAGGAGGAGGAGGCGGAGGAGGACCTGCCTCTTCCTCCGTGCATCCCTTGGCTTGAGTCGCAATCCTCGTCGTCGCCGTTTCGTCGTTTCCCTCTTCCCCCCCTTGGGTTGGCCGGGGGACGTTAATTACCCCGCCCTCGGGGACACGAATGGCCACCCCCCTGCCGTTGCCTCCGAGACCCGGAAAGAGGTCACGGGCGGGATCCGGGGGGGGTTGTACCCCCCCCCCCCGAGGGGGAGCACCCCTGCTTGGGAGAAGCTTTCGGCTCACGAGCGTCAACGTCGTCGTCCTCGTCGTCGTCCTCGTCGTCGTCTTTCAGGATCGGCGGCACCAGCCGTAAGGCCTTCCCTAGAAAAAGAAAAAACGCCATAAACATATACTTCTGGCGTTCCGCGAGGATTTATTGGATCTTCCCTGGCGCACGGAGCGCCGTAAGGTTTTCCCTCGACGAAAAAACGCCATAAACATATACTTTTGGCGCTCCGCGCGGATTTCTTGGATCTTCCCTGGCGCACGGAGCGCGAGAGGGGCGGCGCCGAAGGCGCCGCCGGGGGGGGGGGGGGGGGGCCCAGCGCCAAAAGTGTATGTTGATGACGTTGTTTGTGCTTCGAAGCCCTGCCCAATCGAAAATTTCGAGGTCGAGGGCCAAGACTTCCCCCCCCCCCCCTCCTGATGGTGACCCCGAGCCTCGAGGCTCTCCACGCCGCCCACGGACGCGACGAGCACCGAGGCCCAGTCAGTGCACTCCTCTGCCACCACCTCGACGCGCGGCCACTGCCGCCCCGGCGGCGTGCCGTCTGAGCCTGCGTCGCTCCCGATCTGGCGCACCTGGTGGAGCAAGCTTATCTCCCAGATCTCCGCCGACGCGATTGTTGCCGTCGATCTCTGGAGTTAGGTCTGGTTCCTGAAGGTCTTCTGGCGTCGGGATGCTTTCTGCCAGCTGAGCCTCGCCGAGAGCGTTCCCAGGGAACCAGCATCGTCCCGAACGGCCGCCAGATGCCCAAGTGATGGACTGGAAGCCACAACATCTCCGACGATATGATTTACAGCGTATCCTTGATTTCGGCTCTCGGGGACCGTTTCTCGCGGCCAGGGGCCAGTAGGAACGGGACCCGGGGGAAAAGCTGGCCCCGGGAAAGCGGTCGGGACCTCTGCCCTGACTTCGGATCTACGATTCTGCAAGTTAGGCGCAAACTTCGGCCCTACTTTTCAAGCTCCTTTGATGCCGATCTCAGTCCTACTTTGCCAAGCAATGCCAAGCAAAGCACCCATGCAATGGGAAGCTTTCCCCGAATTGTGGTCGCGCCAAGTTCATTGCTCTCGCCTAAGCGCCGCGCACAATCGTTTCAACGTTTGCAAGAGTTTTGCGGATGGAGGGCGGGTGGGTTTCAAAGTGTGACTCTCGCTTTAGCGTCGCCTACATTCGCCTTACACGTTGAGAAGAGCTTCTCGGATGAAGGGCGGCTTCTTTTCAAAATGTGGCTCCCGCCTTAGCGCCGCGCACATTCATCTTAAAAGTTTGCAAGAGTTTCACTGATTGAGGGCGGGTCCTTTTCGAAGCATGGCTCACGCTTTAACGCCGCGCGCATTCGTTCCAAGAGTTAACAACCCTTTCACGGATTCTTGTGGCTGGCGTCCAAGAAACAGTGTTTTGGTACGATATACAAATGTCATAGCGCATCAGTGACGTTGATTCGCAGTGTTGAACTTCCAGGGATGGCGTTCTGGCACGATTCAGAATCCTCAGGACGCAAAAGTAACGTTGCTTCGCGGCGTTTCGGTTGTCTTCCAACGGGGCACTTCCCTCAGTGAAATCAACTCCTTGTGGGGACCTAGGAGGAGGGAGCTTTGAGGGAGGATTAATTGTTGCATCATCCAGGGATGGCCCGAAGAGGCCCTCCAATGCCACCCCCTTGCTCTCAGAGATCTCTCTGTTCATCCTAGTTGCCTACTTTGTTTCCCTAGATGTGTCCGCTTGTCCCTTCTCCCATCCGCTCGAATGGGCAACGTTTCTCAACGGGCTGGTGGGGATGCGCAAAGTGTTTCGTGCCCCTCCCACTACACAATCCTCACCAATGCCGTCTGGCCCCCCAGGGAGGCCCGGCCAGGTGAACGTGTTCTGTTTCGGCGTCTCGACATTGGGCGGAAAGTTGGGGGCGGAGGGAGGGGGGGTCTTGCTCCAGACCTCTGCTTCATGCGACTGTTTGCAACAGTGCTTCCTGTGGGGGGGACTCCACCTGCTCAAAACAAGGCGCCCCAAACAGCCAAAATCTAGTCCATGGGGGGGAGTGCGAGGGCCCGCGCCGATCGGCAAAACAATGAATAAGAAAACGATCACCAGGCCGTGGCAGGAATCGCCGTGCCATGTCACCGTGAGATCTACCAGGCGTCGTGCCCTCCGCAGCCCACCCGTCTCGACAGTGTCATCTGGCCCTCCAGGGAGGCCCCGCCAGAACAAACACAATTGCTCGCCGATGTTCAGGAACATCTAATTTTGGAAACTATGGGAAGTGGTGGGGAAGACGAAAGTCGAGAAAAAAATGTGGGGAATCCGGGGATTTGCATCTATTTATTTGTGTGTCCCTGGGCCCCACCAACATCCGCAGTGCCATTTGGCCCTCCAGGGAAGCCCCGCCAGACCACGGCAAGCATCCCAACTGTCGTGCCTTCGCTGCCTCCTTCTCGCGTGCACTCCAACGCTCTGGGCCCTCCACTTTTGGCTTCCGCTGTGCCCCGCCATCCTTCGGGCCAACCGAAACCTCTTCTGTGAGGAACTCCGGCATCATCTTTTTTGCTGTTTGAGCTGTCGGCGTGGCCCGACGCGACTGATGCCCCCACCTTCCAGGAAGCGGGCAAGGACGTAGGGAGAGGAGCGGCAGAGCGCCCAACCGGGGACCATACGCTGGCGGGGCCACGGATGGGATAGCAACGCCGCGAGCAAAACTTTCGGAAATCCACGCGGATCTCTAGGGGTTTGCGTTGGACCCCCTCTTGCCCAGGCAACGCCAAGGGGGGCCACCACAGGGGGGTCCGCCACCTCGCCGAGGAGAACGGCCCATAAGTAACCCGAAAGGAGAAGGAGGAAAAGGAGGAGGAGGAGGAAGAAGAGGAGGAAATGGCGAAGGAGGAGGAGGTGGAGGTGGAGGAGGAGGAGGAGGAGGTGGGATGAGCAGTTGGAGGAGGTGGGGCGAGGAGGAGGAGGAGAAGGAGGAGGAGGAGAAGGAGTAGGAGGAGGAAGGAGAGGGGGGAGAGGAGGAGAAGGAGGAGGAGGAGGAGGAGAGGGAAGAGGGGGGAGAAGAGGAGGAGGAGGAGGAGGAGGAGGAGAAGGAGGACGAGGAGAGGGGGGTAGGAGGAGGGGGAGTAGGAGGAGGAAAGAGGAGACGGATGATGATGATGATGATGATGATGATGATGATGATGATGATGATGATGATGATGATGATGATGATGATGATGATGATGATGATGATGATGATGGTGATGATGATGATGATCATGATGATGATGATGATGATGATGATGATGATGATGATGATGATGATAATGATGATGCGGAGGAGGAGGGGGAGGAGGAGGAGGAGGCGGGAGGCACCCCAGGAACTCCGCCAAACATGCCCCATCATCTCGTCCAAAATATCTGGGGCCCTTGATACTCGATACACTCGCTCCTCAGCAGGGGCCAGCGACCCCCGTGGTGGTTGGTGCCCATCCTGGCATTTCGTGTCGGACGAGAAGGAAGGGCCATTACAGGCGCCACAAAGAACAGGACTACAAGAAATCGACCAATGAGCTCAGCTCATCGTCATCCCTGACTCCGAGATATCCGGCAGCGAGGACAACGGCACACAGACCGAAAGGGACGATTACCAACGCGAGAAGGATCTGTTCAACCGTGCGAAGACGACACCCGAAGACGAGCACTCAGCCACCTTGCCAGACACTGACGGGACTACTCAAATGTGACGACCTGTGCCGTTCAAAAGACAGATACTACCTCAAGTTGTACCGTGGGAGCCAGCTTCAACGCAGCTTCAACGCAACTTCGACGACGACCTCAGCTGGACGGAAAAAGGTTTACCTCCAGCGCAGCGATTTCGAAGGAGACGAGGCCCCGACACCGAAAGCACACGAACAATGACTGCAAGACCAACCAACAGGAACAGCCGAAACGACACCATGCACACCGCCAGGGGAAACAACCATATCACCAACGGAGTGCATGACACCGATCGACTTCCGACCAGCACCGAACTTCCATATTGGCACACCACCGAACATATCAACCTCACTGCCAGCGGTGTTTCCCGCCCAGCCATCGGACGCGTTCGCATGCACCGCAAGCGCACAGAACAAAGCCGACCTCAGCCAGCACCACCACGACGTTCAGTGCGCTTCGCCGCGGACAACGGCCAGGGCGAAGTAAACCCAGCAGATGAGAGGAACATCATCCCCGTGAACCACCACGACGACAACGACAGCAGCGGCATCGACGGGGGTGCCAGCGACCAAACCCCAAAAACCTGACTAGGGACGGTGGCGTGGGGGGCGCCACCGCCACGGAGGCCGATAGGGCAAACATAGCAACAACCAATACACTCAACGACACCTCACTAGGACGGTCAACTCCAGAGCGCGCCACGCATGGAACGACCAGCTTCACGACAGCCGGCTGCTACAGAGCCAGACGCGCAGGACCCAATACACGATCCCGCGACCAACGCCGAACTGGAATTCAACGAGCAACAATAGCCTCTTTTTTTTAACAGCGTCGCATAGACAGCCGACGACGCACATCCTCAGGCACCCCCTGCAGCAACGCGGCGAACGCACGTGCCGGCAGGGAAACCGAGACAACGCCAGCAGCAACCAACCTCCAGGGGAATGGAGATAGCTCAGCAAGTCTGGCTGTTTGAAAGGGACGGCGGGGCAATCATGGACCTCGCAACGCCTGCTTCAACCAGATACAGGCCACCGCGCGACGACAGCTCGGGCCCCGTGCGAGGCGACCTGGACGTCGGCGCGGATGGTGCGACATCTGCAGACCGTCGCACCTATTCGGGAGCGGCAAATAGGGGAGTGTCGAAGAGGGGTGTGTGCAAATCATGACCAGCGGCATGTGCGCGGCCCAGCGGGCGGGCCAGGGACGCAATGAAACAAGAAGAGGCGCCATGAGATCTGGGGAAATATCATGGCCCACGCCATGATATCCACCCCTCCCTAGTCATCACCCCCCTCTCTTCCGCCCCCGACCTATGGGGGAGCCACCCCCCCCCCCCCAAGGCCCACAGCAAGGACCGAACTTTACAATGGCAGTTCCGCTCCTCCCGACGGAGCCGACAGCGGCCGTCCTGAGGCGCGCGCTGCCACCCCGCTCTCCAGCGCCAACGTGACCTCGCCAACGTGCCCGACCTCCACCCGGCAGCCGCCGCGGCGCTTGGCCCGTGCCCGCCCCGACCCCATCAGCAGGTCAAAGGGTGGCGCCCGTGCGCAGACGGCACGCGCCAGCGCGACTCCACGCGCGGCTCAGGGGCCCTGGCAACCACCGCCGAAGACGAACAATGTTGCATGCACCACGGAAGCATCGGAGCACACAACAGCATACCATTATGGAACGAAAGCTGCCCCTGCAACTCTACCGCGCAAGACCTGGCAGCTCTGATGTGGGCGCATGCATGTATATATGCACACGTCCACAGACGGCCGGCAATATACACGCCGACCCCACGGTTGCCAGAGGATGTGGCAAGGGCAACTTCCAACCAAAGAAACCCAATCATATGACCGACTTAGCACGACTACTAAACGACCTCACCTCCGAGGTGGTCGAC